TGCACTTCAGCAACTTTATAATTCCCAATGGCTTTCTCTTCAAAAACAGGAAATTTTTAAAAAGGGAGGAGGAGGACAGAGTAGTTTGTAGAGTTTTCAGTAATAACACCTTTTGTAATCTCCTACCAAACAACTTCAGACTCTCATGCTTTAATTATTCTAGAACCTACCCTGTTGAGACTGGCAGAAAAACAAGTAGAATTATGAATTTTACTTGGGAGAAGATGAAGACCCCGTCCTAAAAACCCCCTCAGCTTGAGTTAGTGTGAATGGCTCCACCAGGCACGAGTGTGGATGCAGAAATTGGCACCAGGAGCAAGCAGGCTGAGGAGAGGGGACGTGTGTGCCAAGCAGCAGCATCCGAGTGTCTGCCAAGACCTGATAAGCTCCAGAGACTTCACAGTCCTGCTGAGTCTGCAAAAACTGATAAACTGAGCACAGACACTCTGCCAAATCTGTCCAAACCCACTGGCATCAGCCATGGGTGTTGCACAATGCAGCCAACATCCTTGAAGGCTGGTATATGCAAAACTACAGGTTTGTCTATCTATCTGTGGATATGAATATATATAAAACACACACACACACATATATTAATGATGAAATAAAATGATCTGGAGGGACTTCCTGAGCATCCTGACACATCAACACACACCTCTGCTTTTGAGTAACCAGCTGGGGTTGGTCTCCCAGCTCCTGCTCCACCCATCAGTGCAGATGTCTGTGAGCTGCACGAGGGAATAAAGGAATGCAGTGTGCAATGAGTCCCTTGCTATTAATAACAGCATGACAAAAGGTATCTAATAAATGCTGTTGTGCTCTGTGCTTCCCCCAGCCTGATCCCTGAGTAAAGGGGATATACAACAACCCCTTATTGCAAAGTTGAATTTCTGTTTTTGTGGATATCACCTCAACAAGGGTGTCTGATGCTGGATCCAGACTTTCTAAATGACAGACTTGGGTAAGTTTCCAGTGTGACATTTTTCAAGTGGCTGTCACCATATTAGAGGCATGCCCAGACGCAGACACAGGGACACCCCAGACCTGGAGAACTGGTATGGTGGAATGGGACAAATTACAAAGTTGCCTGGCTCCTCACCCAAACTTTTGGACCCTGTGCTCTGTGAGGATCACAGCCTCTTCTTGAGACATTCACAGTGCTGCCAAATCAGTAACCTGTCCCTCTCCTAGAAGAGCCACCAGGGCTGACTCCTGCTCCTCCCAGCCTGGAAAAACCCCAGAGCCACCAAACTGGACCCCTGTCAGGACCCAGGACATCCCTCTGGCTGTCCTGAGCAGCCCAGACCCCTGCCAGGGGGCTCAGAGACCCTGGCACAGAGCCCAGAATGCCCCTGTGGTTTTGATTACAACCCGTGGAGCAAATTACCAACCTTAGATGAATATCTGCAAACCACAACAGTTTAGGTAGAGTAATAGTGAAGTTATCACGGGGTGGAAAAGTAGATTTTGGGGGTTTTAGAATGGGGACTCAGGGGGCAAGATGGAGGGAACTGGGTGTGTCCAGCCTTTCTCCTTCTCCTTCTTGGTCTCCATTTTCTGCTGTGATGTTGGCACCTACAGATTGGTTTAGAGTAGAAGCTCACTGTCTAACATAGGTGAGAGGTATTGAAAAGTAATTGCAAATATTGTATAAGTAGTTTGCAGTATAAAGACATAACACCGCCCTGGGGGCAGGCAGAGTGCCTGGAACTGTCCTGCTGGATGGACCTCGGCAGGGCAGGAGAAAATTTTTTATAGATAAGACACAATAAACAACCTTGAGACTGAGAAATGAAGAGCCCTGACTCCTTCTTCGAGTGCTGGGCTGGGAAAAGAGACTTTGGAACTCTTCTTGGGGTCACTCTGAGCAGCTAGACAGACGCCAACAATAAAATGACTTCTGTGACACACCACCTTGGCTCCAGAGGCCACCAAATTCAGATGGCCCTTCATGTTCTCCTGTCATCTCCATTGCTCATATGATCAGACAAGAGTCATCTCCAGGGAGAATCTATCGGGAGTCTGCTCAAAACAGCCTTTATTTTCAAAACTGGTCTACTCTCATCATTCACCCAAACTTTCCCCCGTCCTGCCTCATCCCATCTCCCTGCTTCTACCTGCCAGATGGATGATCAATGTCATTTTCCAGAAAAATTGTGATTAAATTGTGTTGCCTATTTACGACAAAAAAAAAAATGACAAAAATGAGCCACCCAAACTCTTGTGCAGGTGCTGGTCCTGGTGAGTGTTTTTGATGGGACCAGCAACACCTGCTGAGGGGTCATCCTGCAGTGTGTTCCACTTCCAAGCACTTCACATGCAGTGGAATCTGCTGCACTTTTCTCAGGAAAATAAATACCTTTGCTTTTGTGCTTCAGTTTGAGAGACCACACAAGAATGTTCCTGAATGCAATAGATTACAAGTTAAATGTAAATTCTGATGTTAAAAGGAAGCAGTTCTTTTAGAAGGACCAGGCTTTCAAAATCCTTTCCCATCGGCCGGGTTTGCAGGACCTCTTGTGGTTAAAGCCCGGACTTGCAGTTCCACGTTTTTTGCTGGAGGCGGGAGCGCACCTGAGGCTTTTTCTCCCGCAGCTGTGCAGAAGGGAAAGAGAGACTGACTTGAAATGTCAAGCAGCAATATTAGTGAAAGGAAAAGCTGTGCTAACTGGCATCTGGCGACAAATAACAATAATTTGCAAAATAATAATAAGCAAATAATAATTTTTATTATAATATCTGCAAATATTATTTGGGGGTAACACAATTTTTATGATGATATTTGCAAAATAATAATAAGCAAATAATTTTTGTGTGGATTTAAGCTTATAAAAGTAAGTTGTTCTTTTGCTGTATCTCAAGCATACCAGTCAAGAACCATGAAATGGAGTTGTCTGACAAAGTCACAGAAGCACAGAATACCCAGGGTTGGAAGGGACCCACATGGATCATCGAATTCCAGCTCCTGGCCCTGCACAGGACAGCCCCAAGAGTCACACCAAGTGCACCACGTGTTATAATGCATGAGAAAATTGCTTTTAAAGGATGTAGCCTCACCAATTAATTATAAAAAAAAAAACCTAAAAAACCAAAACAAAACCATGGGAAGAGATCCTGTTATTTTAGCTGCCACTTCTTAACTCTGCCAGTGAAACCAGCTGAGAAGTGGGGCTGGCAGCTGCCCAAGCTTCTCCTCCAGCCATGTACCAGCTTCTCCTCTTGCCACCACAGCGCTGCAGGGCAGGGAGGAAGCTGCCCAACACCAGTGCCACAACTGCTCCTTCCCTGAGGGTGTTTTTGTGGGAAGGCTCCACAAAAAGCTCATGCCATCACACCATCGACCATAACAAGCACTGTGGCCCCATGGCAGGCAGGGCATGGGGTTTGGAGGTGTGAAAAATGCGTATTTTATGATTGGCTTTTTGCAAATATTAAAATGAATATTATATGTGTTGTGTTAGAAAGTAATGCTGTATTAATTCTCTTAAGTACTGTGTTAAATATAGATTTATGTTAAAACAAAATGTTAAAATAGAAACTATGTTATGTAGGATACTTTTTTTAAAAGAAAGGACTTGCACTGAGATAGCAGCCACAGGACTACTTTACCTAAATCTTTCAGAGAAAGAGAATTTATTGCCCCATTATCAGGGGAAATGTACTTCTTCCTGCCTCGATGCCATTAGGATTAGGAGGAAGAAGCTGACGAGGACCAGAGAGAATCCTTTGCTTGAATTAAATTTATGCATCGTATATGAAGTGTATGAATATGCAACAGGTTATTGTTTTTAAGGGTTAATCCTCTGTTAACGTGTGTCCTTTTTCGGGCTTATGTTGCCCAGAAAAAGGCACCCGGACGTCTGTAACTCTTTGTTTCTGTTGTCTCATATTGTCCTAACTCAAATTGTCCAAAAATTTTATTACTCTAATTAAATTGCTATTTTTATAACCATTTTATTACTATTAAACTTTTAAAATTTTAAAGAGTGAGTGGTGTTTTTCACAGAGGGCAGTAGCTGTTGTCCCAAAATGGGTTCTTTGACTTGGTATGCCAGAGGCCAATCCACACAGAGAGCTGAGATATTTGATTTATTCACAGTTCTGCACAGAAAAGGGAGCTAGGTGGCAAAGCCTTAATGCCAGCATGACAAAACCTTTAAATATTTATACATTTTAGCAAACAAAGGCATTAATGTTGACTGGCTAAAAGTTACATAGTTCTCTTATTAATTAGTATTCTGTCTTCTGCTTATTAATGATTCTCTTGCTTCTCCTGCTAATTAGTCCCATACTCAGTCTTTCCCCTCTTTTGTGTGAGTTTCTTGGGTCCATGAGTTGGTGGTCACCATCTCCCCCTGCCAGAATTACATTTTACCCAACTGGAGCTGGTTCAGCACAGTTGCTGAGTTGTCTTTATTAGTTTCTTCCTTATCTTTGGGGTCCTGCCAAATGTCCTTGTGGCCCATAAATTCTGCATTCTTTGTATCCACTATCAGCTGCACATCCTTCTCCCCAGGCCTTGTTAACCTCCCCCGAGGTGGGAGATCACCTCGAGCCCTAAACCTTAACAAGGTAGCCCTACCCACAAGTAATTTGGGACGTCACTCAGGGATTGCTCGTCAGCCGCTATTTCAGGGGTTAAATCCCCTTTCCTGTTGACTAGGGTTGGAAGCACACGAAGATCACACATCACCCCACCTCCTTTCTCACGGGAATTTCCAGATATTCCGCGTTTTGCACCAATTGAGGCCAACAGGGACGCACGGGCCCGGCCGCTCCCTCAGCGTTTCCCGCCAAAGCCGCGAGCGGGGCGGGGCCGGGGCGGGGCCGGGCGCGCGGGTTTGGCGCGCAGGGCGGCCCGCGCTTCCCGCCGCGGCCATGTCTCGCCAGAGCACCCTGCTCCGCTTCTTCTCCAAGGCCCCGCCGGCCGGCACCGAGCCCCGCAGCGAGCCCCGCCGCGCCTCGGGGGAGCGGAATGGCCTGCAGGCCGCCGGCAGCCCCCCGGGCGGGGCGGGCCGAGCGGCGGCGCGGCGCGGCGAGAACGGCGAGAAGGGCGCGGGGGGCGGCGCGGCCGCCAAGGCCCCCAAGGCCGCCAGGTACCGGCGGGGACGCGGGAAGGGAGAGCGGGAATGGGAGGCGGGATGGAGCTGCAGCGGCCGGCAGTGGGAGCGGGACCCGCGGGGTGTCCGTGTGTCGCTGTCGCCCCGTGGCTGGCGCAGTGCCCGCCATTCCCTGGATACGCTGCCCGGCCGGGCCCGCAGCGGCCTGGGCTCCCGGCGGGACAATGGGACACCTGCGGGACGGGCTGTGCTGTTTGGATGTAGCGCTGCACGCCTGTTTAAATTTGCTTTCCGTGCTGTGTCACAGAGGGGCACAGTGGGTCAGGCTGGAGGGGAGCACAGAGGGACATCTGGCCCAACCTCCCCACTCGAGCAGGGTTAATCCGCTCGAATAGGGACATCCCGCTCGAGTAGGGACATCCCAGAGCACATGGCACAGGGCTGTGTTCAGTTTTTAGTACCTCCAGGGAGGGCGGCTCCGCCTCTCCGCCCAATCAGTTCCAGCGCACAGTCACGCACAGTCAAGAAACTCTTCCTTGTGGTCTGGTGGAGCTTTGTGCTCTTTGTTTCGTGTCCTCATGCTTGGTATTAACAAGGAAAGCCTGGCTCCATCTTCTTGGCAGCCCCTCATTTAGGTATTTATACATATTGATGAATACCTCATTTAGGTATTTATGCATATTGATGAAGTCCCCCTCAGTCATCTCTCCTCAGGGCCGAACAGGCCCGGCTCCCTGAGCCTTTCCTCTTAAGAGAGATGCTCCTTTCCCATTGTCATGTTTGTTGCCCTCTGCTGGAGCCGCTCCAGGAGCTCCATGTCTCCCTTGTGCTGAACACCACAAGTGTCCCCCGTGTCAGCGCACTGAGTGTCACTGGTGGTTGGGCCACAGCCTGCAGGAGTGTCCCAGCCATCATCTGTGCAAGTGTGGCAGTGAAATCTGTGGGAAGGAGGAGAGAGCAAATAAAAGCTGCCCCAGGTGCTTTGGAGTGCAGGTAGAGTTTTTTATTTATTCACTTTTTTGTAGCCTGAGGGGTTTTTGAAGTCTTGCTCTTTTCTTTAGGTGCCTGGTTGAAAATTAGTTTCTACAGGAAAAGGGCATGTAGTGACAAGGCGAGTGGGAATGGTTTCAGCTGAAAGAGAGTAGGTCTAATTAGATTTAGGGAAGAAATTGCTCACTGTGAGCTTGGTGAGGAATTGGCACAGGTTGGATGTGAGTGCTCCACCCGTGTTCAAGTGTTCAAGGCCAGGCTGGATGGGGGCTCTGAGTAACCTGGGATAGTGGGAGGTGTCCCTGTGCATGGCAGGGGGCTGGGACCAGGTGACCTTTAGGGTCCTTTTGAACCCAAACCATTCTGTGATAAAGCTCTGTCTCTGTGGGAATCCTGCAGAACCTGGAGGAGCAAATCAAAGTTTAGGAGAAGCGTTGGTGGTGGTATGGAAGAACTGTGTAATCCAGGTTGGAGGGCAAAATGCTCAGCAGCAGTGTGCAGTGACATTTGTGAAGAGAGCTGTTCCAGATGCCTGTGTTCCTTACATGACACATTTGTTTTCTCTGCAGTGCCTCCTGTGAATATTCTCCTGGGGACATGGTGTGGGCCAAGATGGAAGGCTATCCCTGGTGGCCATGTCTCATTTACAACCACCCCACTGAAGGGACAATAGTCAGAGGAAAAGGAAAATCCACTCGTGTGCACGTGCAGTTCTTTGATGACAGCCCTACGAGGGGCTGGATCAGTGTTAAGTACCTGAAGCCATATAAAGGTAAGAGATAGGAACAAAACTGTTTGGAATGGAAACATGCCACTTGTTTTGGAATTACAGGCTTGGAATATAGGATATATTATTCTCCATAGAGAAGAGCAGCAAAACCAAGAGTAGAATTGAACATGTTTTGTGCTTTGTAAGCTACAAGTTTTTGAGGGTTACAGATACATTTGTGTTTATACAGTTCTTGAAACATAAAACACCATGCCCTTTCATTTATTATATTAGAACAACTAATTAAGCAAACTTAAAGCTTGCTGATGTTTGGAGATATTTTCTTTTTTCAGTATAAAAATGATGTGAAAGATAAACCCAGTATTTCCACTTTTAGCCCTGAAATCCCTAAAGTATTAGGAGTGTCAAACCCAGTTTTTAAGCAGCTATTTAGGAACTGTAGTATGTCCAGAATTAAAAGGCTAGGCCCAGGATATTGGGTAAATATAATTAATTCTGCTGCAGTGTTTGTTCTCAGCAGTGCAGCAGTTCTGTAAATAAAATATATAACTTCAGAATTGAGTATTGGTGAGGGGCAGTGCTGGTAGTTACAGATCAGAGTTGGTGTTTGTGATACTGAAGAAATTACATGGCTAACTAGTGAAAATCAAATGTAATGAGTTAACATTTTGTATAATAAATCTCACCTTTTTAGTAAACATAATCTGTTTTCCCCTTTTTTCATGATTTTACAGTTACTGAAAACTAAATCATTGGCTGTAAACTGTCTTGTTAGTCAAATACTTCATATGTAGTACAGTATTTCTGATGCTCTGTAGGATTTGCTTGTGTCACTGAAAAAAACCTGTCACTGAATTTAAATAGTTTCTTCCTTTATACAGTCAGAGTTCCATCTTGTGATCATGTAGCCACATCTTTGTCTCCTCTGTACTTCAGTGTGCTGCACTTCAGCCATAGTTTTAAATTACAATGGTAATGTTATTGCTATGAGTGTTAGCATAATTTATTGCAAGTAAATTGGTCCATGGTTATATGTGTCTTTCCCCAAAGTATTTGAAAACAATCAAAATATTCTGAGAACTTACAGCTGTACTTAGAAGCAAATGCAGGTAAGGGAAATTAATCTATTTGCCAAAAGAAAATTGCCAAAATGAAGTTTAAACACAGATATACAGATTTATCACAGGAGAAGTGTTGAATGCAGAACAGATTAAAAATATTTAAAATATCTATTTGCTTTAAATACAAACAAAAAGCATTTTTTATATACAAAGGAAAAGTGTTAGAGTCTTTGGGTAAGAAAATGGATAAATTTCTTGGGTTGTGTTATTTTTTTGTACCTGAGTAAGTGCAGAGAGCACAGGGCCAGACCTGTAACAGGTGGACAGGAAGAAGTGAAGCTGCACAGCAGTTGGTTAAGTGAATATGCAGGTGTTGCACCCTTAAATGTGCAGCTCAATTATATGAGAAGATTTTTCTTCTGACGTTGTTCAGTCGCATTTAATATTAATGCAGAATATTTTTAGACTGCCTCATTGCATTTGGAAATCCAAAAGGGAGGTCTGGATTGCTAATGTGTTGCCTTTGTGCTGTTGAAGCAGCTACTTGTAACTCCCTGCTTTGTTACTGCAAACTGGGGGTTGATTGTGAGCCAGAATTTTGTTTGATTTGTTTCTGGGGTGTTTGGTGTCCTCCAAGTCCTCTGTCCTTGTGTGCCACTGGGTTAGAGCTGAAGCTGCAGTCAGCAGTGGTGGATGGAGGGGTTCACAAGAGTGGGGAAAAGGGCCTGAGATCAGTCTCTGGCTCTGGGTTAGTGTGTGTGCAGGTGGTGGCAGGAGGAGGAGGGAATGCAGCAGTTATTAATAGCAGGCTTTGTTCCCTGCCCTGCAGTGGCAGCCTGGGTGCCCAGCGTGATTGGCCATCAGCTAATCTGGCTGATGGGCTGGGCTGGTGCCTGGCTGCGCTCACAGCAGCACTTTGCAGGCCAGCAGAGCTCTCAGGGCTGTGCCACAGGTGGCTTGTGCCTAGAAAGTGAAGATAACTCTGGCTGAGCTTACGTGGTCACTGCCAAAACAGCCCTGTGGTCTCAGTCAGTCTGTCTGCTGCTCTGCCAGTGTTAAACTCAGTACTAACTACAGTGAGAGTGAGTCAGAGCTCAGCCTAGGAGTGCTCACATGTGCTAATGAGTTACAGAAATAGAAGCAATTCTTCAAGTGTTCATGGAGGTAGGCATTTCATTTGTGAGTCTCTGTCCTTTCCCCAGGGGTGGTTCAGCAGAATGAAGGAGTGATAGATTGCTGTATTTAAGATGTGGTGGGAATGAGTGGTAGCAGCACAGGAGTTTAGTTATCTGAATATGAATGCTAGTTGCCTGAATGCATTTAAAAGTGAGCTATGATCACTAGACTTAACAAATGTTAAGTCTAGCATTTAGCATTTGTTCTTAACAAATCTGTGTTTTTTACAGGTTCATCAGACAAGGAGACGATGAAGGGAGGTATGTTTTACAGCACAAAGCCTGAAATTAAGAGAGCCATGGTGCTGGCAGACGATGCCATGAGCAAAGATAAAACCAAGAGGCTTGAACTGGCAGTATGCAATGAGCCTTCAGACACAGAGGAGGAAGAGGAAGAAGTGGAGGTAAAATGTTTCTTAATTGCTGTCACTTGCAGAAATATTGCTAGAACTTAGAAGCTGTGACTTGGAGCTGAGCATGGAATATCCTGCAGTTCTCTGGTACAGTAATCACAGCTTATCTCCTCGTTAATCTTGCACACATATGTATCCATTTGTCTTTTTTTTTTGTACTGCTTCTGTGTTGTCAGGTCATATGCTGGTCTCTCATCTTTTCTAGTTGGAAAGACAAGTCTCTTTGGTGTTCTGTATGGTAAGGACTGACCTCAGAATCTACTCAACTTCTCTGACTCTCTTCACTCATCACTCCCTGGTGATCTACTTTTTCACCCAGAAATGCTTTTTTTCTGATGCATCATTTTATCTTCTCTATCTGCTATTCATAGTCCAAGTTGCCCTAAGTTTGATCTGGAGTTTAAGTGTATCTTAGTATATAAATTTATAGCTTATTGACTCTTCATCTAAGGCATCAAATTGCATTTTTGGAGCCCACCCTCATCTTGTGGAGTAGCACTAAAATACCAGTTCTTGCACTGCTAACAGCAGTCTTGATGGAGTAACTAAAAAGTGATGTTTTATTGTATTGTATTCATGTTGTGTTGATTCAGCTATTATTTCAGAAGCACCATGTGCCTTGAAATAGATTTCTTTGGAGAGGAATGGTATGGGGACACTGTCAGTGGGATGGTGGCTTCCCTTAGCTCATCTACTCAGTCTCCAGTGTGACAGTGCCCCGAGGGACAGGTGCCACTCCAGACATTGTGTTGTGTGCAGTGGCACTTTGTACTCACTGCAGTCCCTCTGCTGCTGGTTTTCCCTTAAAGTTTGAGGCTGAAAAGGCAAATAATAGAGTTGCTTTTCTTTCTCCTACATGTGCCATATTCTTTTTTTGTGCAGTTTAAATGCTTTGTTCATCAGCATCACATATGCACAGTAATGAATGAGTCTCTAAAGAACAGAAATAAGAGTGATTATGCCACTGGCCAGTAGAAGTTAGTTGTCCAGAAAAAATCTGGGTTCTGTTAAGGTACTTGGAATTGGCTGTGGCTCTGCTGTCTCTTGCTTGAAGCATCATAGGTACTGCGTTACTGCACATTTTTGCACTTCTTTATGCAGCAGTATTTGTAGCCAGAATTATCTACAGACAAAATAATTTATTTTTCCAGGAGATGAGTGAAAATGCATCAGGCAACAGTGAAGACTGCAACAGTGAGGAGGATGTGAAAAGCAATAAGCGGGTGATAAGCAGGGAAAGAGCTGTAAAAGCCAAGAGAAGGAGAGTGTTGGATTCTGACAGTGACCACGATGGCTCTGATGTGGAGTTCAAGCCTGATGGGAAAGAAGCAGCCAGCAGTGAGGAAGCCAGTAGTGGAGTGGATGAAAATGAGTCTTCTGACACAGAGACAGAGGCAGAGAGTGTTGCAGAGAGCCCTGTAAAAGTCCCTTCTAAACGCAAGAGGAGAGAGGTGAAAAAGCCTGCTAAGAGGAGTAGCCTGGGAAATGACTGTTCTGAAACACCCAAAAGAGCAGCAGCAGTCTCTTCAGATGCCAAGTCTAAGCTGACATCCTTTGCAGCACCTGAAAGTTTTGAATCTCAAGCAAATGCTTGCAGCGGCGGCGCTGGCGGCTTCTCGGCGTGGGAGCACGAGAAGCTGGAGTGGCTGCAGGAGGGGAAGAGGAGGGATGCGCACAGGCGGCGTCAGGGTGACCCTGACTACGACCCCTGCACTCTGCACGTGCCCGAGGATTACCTCAATAAGTGCACGCCGGGCGTGCGCAGGTGGTGGCAGCTCAAGAGCCAGAACTTCGACGCCGTGATTTGCTACAAGGTGGGGAAGTTCTACGAGCTGTACCACATGGACGCGGTCACCGGCGTCAACGAGCTGGGCCTCATCTTCATGAAGGGCACCTGGGCGCACTCGGGCTTTCCGGAGACCGCGTTCGGCCGCTTCTCCGACGTGCTGGTGCAGAAGGGCTACAAGGTGGCGCGCGTGGAGCAGACGGAAACGCCCGAAATGATGGAGGCGCGCTGCAGGGCCGCGGGCCACTCCAGCAGGTCTGACAAGGTGGTGCGGCGGGAGATCTGCAGGATCATCACCAAGGGGACGCAGACCTACAGCGTCATGGACTGCGACCCCTCCGAGAACCACAGCCGGTTCCTGCTGAGCGTGAAGGAGAACGAGGACGCGGCCGGGACGCGCCTCTACGGCGTCTGCTTCGTCGACACCTCCATGGGGAAGTTCCACGTCGGGCAGTTCCCTGACGACCGCCACTGCTCCAGGTTCAGGACTTTGGTAGCTCACTACACCCCTGTGCAGGTGCTGTTTGAGAAGGGCAACCTGTCTGTGGACACACAGAAGATACTGAAGGGCTCGCTGGTTTCTTGCATTCAGGAAGGGCTGACCTCGGGTTCCCAGTTCTGGAATGCGTCTAAAACACTAAAAGTCCTTCTTGAAGAAGGATATTTCAAGGAGAAGCAGAATTCTGAAAATGGATGTTCTCTGCCCTCTGTAATCAAATCTCTGACTTCAGAGAGTGACTCCCTGGGATTAACTCCTGGTGAAAACAGTGAGTTAGCTTTGTCAGCTCTTGGGGGATGTGTCTTCTATCTCAAAAAATGTCTGATCGATCAGGAGCTGTTATCACAGGCAAACTTTGAGGAATATGTCCCTGTGGATATTGCTACTGCAAAAACCACGAGTTCAAGTAGTTTGTTTGGCAGAACTGGCCAGCGGATGGTGCTGGATGGAGTCACCCTGATGAACTTGGAAGTCCTGCAGAATGGAACCAATGGAAGCACTGAAGGTACTTTGTTGGAAAGGATTGATTCTTGCTGTACACCATTTGGGAAGCGACTCCTGAAACAGTGGCTCTGCGCTCCTCTCTGTAATCCTAAATCCATCAATGATCGTTTGGATGCTGTCGAGGACCTCCTGGCAGTGCCAGATAAAATGTCTGAAGTCACTGAGTACCTCAAGAAACTGCCTGACCTTGAGAGGCTGCTCAGCAAAATTCACAGCATTGGGTCACCACTCAAAAGTCAGAACCATCCTGACAGCAGGGCCATCTTCTATGAAGAACTCAAGTACAGCAAGAAAAAAATCGCTGACTTTCTGTCTACCCTGGAGGGCTTCAAAATAATGAATGAAATTGTCGAGTTCATGGAGGAGTTCGCCGGCGACTTCAAATCCAGAGTCCTGAGGCAGCTGGTCACCCGCAAAGCCCAAAATCCCGATGGCCGCTTCCCAGACCTGAGCGCAGAGCTCACCAGGTGGGACACGGCCTTTGATCACAACCAGGCTCGGAAGACAGGAGTGATCACCCCCAAGCTGGGCTTTGACCCCGATTACGACGGAGCGCTGGAGGATATCAGAGCTCTCGAGGAGGACCTGCGCAAGTACCTGGATAAGCAGCGCAAGCTGCTCGGGTCCAAGTCCGTGCAGTACTGGGGGACGGGCAAGAACCGGTACCAGATGGAGATCCCAGAAAGTGTCATCTCCCGAAGCCTGCCCGAGGAGTACGAGCTGAGGTCCAGCAGGAAGGGCTACAAGCGCTACTGGACCAAGGAGATCGAGAGGATGCTGGCCGCCATGGTGAACGCCGAGGAGCGCCGCGACGCCGCCCTCAAGGACTGCATGAGGCGCCTCTTCTACAACTTCGACAAGAACAGCAAGGACTGGCAGACAGCTGTGGAGTGCATTGCTGTGCTGGGTAAGAGCTTTGCCTCCTTCTGACACAGTAAAGGTACCCCTGGGCTGCTGAAATCTGATCTAGGGAAGCTCGTTGCCAACTCTTCACTTGTTTGAAAGCTCCTGATTGTGGTAAAGGCTTTGAGAATTAGCAGTGATTCCCTGTTTCATTCCTGTTGCTAAATAGCAGGACAGTTGCTGGGCCTTGTGATGTTTGCAAGCTATTTCTTCATTCCTGTTATGTGGTTGTAGATGTGCAGCCAAGTGTTTCTCCCAGTTCAGTGTAGCCTGGTGGGCCTCACTGCTTCCAGAGCCTCGTGTGTGGATTAGTAGCTTCTTATTAAATGGAGCTATAAAAATCTAACCTGCTGGTAAGTTTTTTTTATCTGAGCAGGATGATTTCTGGCCATCCTTTAAAAATAGAAGTGCTCAATGTTGAACCTTGAAGAAGGTAGTCTACTAAGAAGGCTTCCCCAAATCCTCCTTAAATTTCTGGGATAGAACAATCTCCTGTATTCCCTTCTCAGGACTGGCATACTTCTGTCCTGTGGATTTTCTGCTAGGATGAGGCACTCTGGGATGTCTTTGTTCCAGGGAGAAATGAAAGCAGTCTCTGAATGCCACTAGAGCAGAAAAGGGGAGGGCAGGCAGGCAGGGAGTGTTGGCTGGGAATGGATTTGCTGGGAGAGCTGGGAAGCAGTCACATCAACCACACCACAGCTCAGGGCAAGTGCTGAATTGGTTCCCAGCAGGGAGGAATTCAGTGTCCAGGCTCAGCTGTAATGTGTGTACATAAAGCCTCTAAAATCATGAACAGTCTCATTGTGTGGGTGATAGCTTTTAGAACCTCAGGGCTCAGCTAACTGAGGGATCTTGTGCTGCTGCTTCCTGCTGGACACACAGAGTTTTAATATTTATACAGTTTTCCACTGGCAACTTTCAAGCAGAATTAGGATTCTTCACAAAGTAATTCACTGTCACAGAAGCTGATTTCCTCCTAGTTCTAAATGAAAAACCAGTGCAATAAATTATTGTTTTATTCGTGAATTTTTGAAATTAAATGATGTGGATTTTAAAGACTTTTGAACAAAAATAACTATAGGGGGAGTGTTTTTATCATGACATCTATAGAAATCTGGAAGGAATGAGGAAAGACACTGTAAATATTCCCACCTTTTACTTGTTCTGGAGTCCATCGTGGGTGTTTCCCTTATGAGGAAAATGGAATAAAATAGAAAAGTGTTTCTACAAAATTGCTGTTCAATGAGTAAATTAATTCCTGTGTATGAAGAAATTTGAAAGTGTGACTGACTGGAATTTCTCTTCATTTTCTAGATGTCTTGATGTCCCTTGCTCACTACAGTCAAGGTGGTGATGGACCTCTGTGCCGACCTGTAATCCTGCTGCCTACGGATAATGCTCCTCCCTTTCTGGAACTTAGAAATTCCCGCCATCCTTGCATCACAAAAACTTTCTTTGGGGATGATTTTATTCCCAATGACATCGTGATAGGCATCAAGGATGAAGGCAGCAGCAGTGAGGCCTCCTGTGTGCTGGTAACTGGCCCCAACATGGGTGGCAAATCTACGCTCATGAGACAGGTGATTGTCATGTGTCCCAGGCTTCCTCTGGCGTTTGGGAGAGGGAATTACAGGGCCTGGCTGTCATGGGGTCACAGGAGGTCCCAGAAAGTGCTCATGTTCAGGGAGATTTTCTGCTTTAGGGAGGGATAAGTTTTATTTGGCCTAGGAGAGTTGGTTGGGAAGAAGTGATAGAGTACGGTTTATCTTTTTCAAGTGACTTACCCAGGACTTGGCATCAGCTGGCAAAAGATGCTTCTGCAGGTTGAACAAGCTGAAACTAGAGATCAGCAGGGAGGTTGCTTTATAAACACTGCTTGCTGTGATAATTTGTGTTTTGAAGGCTTTCAGAGTAGTTCAGTCCTGCCAGAGCTGATGCTGCTGCAGCCTGGAGCTGTTAAAGCAGCGGGAAGCTTTACGTACTCCAGTTCCTGTTTTAGGGGAAACACAGCTTCGTGCCCTGGTTGTGTGTGTGGAACTGAAGCTGCAAACACCACTGCAAATGTTGCTGTCCCTGTTTGCTGTGCAGGCTGGCCTCCTGGTGGTCATGGCCCAGCTGGGGTGCTACGTGCCCGCGGAGTCCTGCAGGCTCACGCCCATCGACCGCGTGTTCACGCGCCTCGGCGCCTCCGACAGGATCATGGCCGGTGAGTGCCTCACACACAGCTGCCTGCACTGGGGGCTCCAGCTTCCTGCTCCTGCTTCCAGTGGCAAGCTGGAAAGGGAACAGCATTTTGCTGGGAGAGCTGTGCATTCTTCTCTGTTGTTGTTCAGAGTGGAGACAGGATTGTACTTAGGGTTTATTTTTTCATGTGTGCGTTCGTTCGATTTTTGACAGACTCATGGGATCACTTCCGAATGAATTTTAATATTAAAAGCCTAACTCCCAGCTGGATGCAAGTCTGAGGAATATCTTTGTTTAGAATTGATTATATTCTGCTCTCACTGATACCTTTTTGTAAGTGTTCTGAAATAGGACAGTGATGTTGGGGCAGCTGTTGCACAGGAGTTGTTTTTGTACCTTCCTGCAAGGACTACAGAAGTCCCTTGTTTCAATCATTATGTTTGAAATCTGATTTCTTCTGATGAGCAAGAGAGGGCAGATGTCCTTCTTGGAAGCAGTAGTTGACAGTTCTTGGGGTATTTTGTTCCTTTAATGGAGAGGAAGACACAAGTGGAGGATGACATGACAAGTGGAATGGTAAAGTCTGCCAGTGGTGATGGGCAAAGTGCCACTGGGCTAGAAAAATAAAATGATTGTTGTGCTAAGAGTAGTATCACTGCTCATTAAGGAGGGCACAGGTTTTCTGTGATCTCTCTGCTGAAAAATGTGGGTCAGTGAATATGAAAAGAGTTAAGCCCACTGAACTTGTTGCCCAGAAGGAATTTGGAAATGAGTCATTCCAAGTTCTTAATTAAAAAAAACATTGACACTTCCCCAAATCAAGGCTTTTCTTCTCAGCTAGAGAATGTTATTAAGGCTTTCTTTGCCCAGCTCGTCTCCATTTTGTTTAATTTCAGTACAAGAAGGAATCAAAAGTGTGAAAGAATACTTAAATGTTTATGGTAGAGATGAGTAGGGCCCTTCCTTCATGACACATAGTCTAGCAAAATGTGGCGTTTTCAATTTTTTTTCAGTTAACTGAGGACTATACTTCTGATTTGACATTTCAATTGTGAGGATAAGCACTGCAAAGAACGAGCTGTGAAATCTGTTCTTGATGCATTTGTTTGCACACTGTGTAGACAGGAAAGCACAGGAAAAGTTGTTCCACGGCAGTCACTTTGTAATGGATGTCAGCAGGACTTTTATGAAGTTATTTTTTTCAGTAATAAAATTTTAGGGCTTTATTTTCTGAAGAGAATAAATGGCCATTCTTAAATATTGTTGAAACCATTAAATCCTGGTAATTTCTTTAAATAAATGCAGAAAATCAGGATTGGTGGATGCTGCTTAGTAATTAATGTTAGAAAACTTATGTTAGAGCAAAGCAGTGCTCATGCAGCATGAGTACAGTAAAGAAATGCTTGCCTTTAATGGAATAAATTGCATTAATTGCTGCTACTTGTAATTATTTGTAATGATCTCCACAAAGAACAAGTAAATCCTGACTTTGTAAGTGTGGGTTTTTCACGTGGAAGGGTGTGAATAATTGTGTAATTCTGCTCATAATCTGCTAAAACCAATTTCAGGTGTAACTTTCAGGCTTTGTATTATCTGGGTTGCTGAAACTCCCGTGAGATGCTTGAGCCTTAGCAGCAGAATATTCCTTTTGTCATACTTCATTCAAGGAGAGAACATACAAATAAAGCCTTTATTATCCAGATAGTTCCCTCCTGACATCACAACCAAACCAGTAATTCCAGTCTCTCAGTCTTTGATTTTCTGCTTGTTTTTTTTTCTGATTGAAAGCCACACACACCTTCAGCCTGTCCTGTGCATTCAGAGCAAGAAAGGGACAAAAATTCTCCCCATTGTAGCATGTGCCCCTCTTTTTGTCCAGCTATTACTTTTGACTGGTGCTATTAAAAGTAAGCAGGTGTGTTGGCCTGAAAACTTAAGTAATTGTGCTTGTGCTTATTCCTGTACTCTAAAGGAACCAAAACTTGTGTTTTCTGGCAAATGGGAACCTGCTGTTTTCACAGTGGAAAATGTGTGTCATGTTTTTGTTCATCTTCAGTTAGCTACTGAGTTTCACTTTAGTTTAACCAAATTCTAGCACAGATTAAATGAGGTTTTAGTTGTGGTTCTCAGATCTTTGACTTACTTCGTGGCTTTCTTTTTTGGTCATTTCCTTTAAAGGTGAAAGTACCTTCTTTGTTGAATTGAGTGAGACTTCCAGCATTCTGCAGCATGCAACAGAGCATTCCCTTGTTCTCGTGGATGAGCTGGGTAATTAGACTGTTTTGTAATAGATGGAAGCTAAATCTGTGGGATGAAAGACTGGCTGCAAGGTTTTTGGGCTGTCTGAAAGGCAGCCAAGTACACAGGGCCAGTTTCACCATAATGATGCTGGTGTTTAACTGGTGTGTCAGCCTCTCTAACATGAACACATCTTGGGTGCCCTGGGAACTCATCACCACCTCCCACCCCCAGTCATTATTACCCTATTTCCAGCTGTGGTTTCCTGCTTTTGCTTTGCATAATTACTTGCTGCAAACCTCAGGAGAGCAGAAACATCTTCTTTCTGCAGTGCAGAAGAGGCTGATTGTTATGGGGCCAGCACCCAGGTCCCCTTCCCCTGCTGCTGGTGGCTCTCACCCCTCACTGCTGTTTGCCTTGCACACAGCGGGGAGGGGAACAAACACACACTGTGGGGTGTCTGTCTGTGTGTCTGTCTGTCCAGCAGCACGCGAGCTGTGGGCTGACTTTACGAGTGTGCCACGGGTGTCAAACACACACTGTGGGGTGTCTGTCTGTCCAGCAGCAGGTGAGCTGTGGGTTGGCTTTACGAGTGTGCCACGGGTGTCCCGTTGTGTCCGCAGGCAGAGGCACGGCCACGTTTGACGGCACGGCCATAGCGAGCGCGGTGGTGGAGGAGCTGGCGCAGAGGATCCGCTGCCGGACGCTCTTCTCCACTCACTACCACTCCCTGGTGGAGGACCATGCCCACAGCCGGGCCGTGCGCCTGGGACACATGGTATGTATGCCTGGGAGCATGGGCTTCTCCCTGCTGGGACTTTCCTGCTCTTCTGTGCTCTTCTGCCCTGAGAAATGGCTGGTTTGGGAACAGGACATGGTGTCCCATGCCTTTCTTAGGCTGCAGGTCAATTTTGCAAACTCTTAACTTGTGGCTTGTTCTTCCCAGGCATGCATGGTTGAAAATGAGAGTGAGGATCCAAGCCAGGAAACAATTACGTTCCTGTACAAGTTCATTGAAGGAGCCTGCCCAAAGAGCTATGGCTTCAATGCAGCAAGACTTGCAGATATTCCAGAGGAAGTCATTCAGAAGGGGCACAGAAAAGCCAAAGAGTTTGAAAAAGCAACCATCTCACTGAGAATATTTAGGTAAGGCCTAGGGTTTCTGTATCTAAGTTACAAATGGCTTATAGGAACCTATTTTAATATTTGGGCAGTGGCTTTTGCTCAGTCACAGCACAAGGGGCAGTTAGAACTACTTTTGTGAACATCAAATGTTCACAGGGAGGGAGGGAGGTACTATGGGAGGGCAGAGATGCTGAGCAGTATTTTAAGCCTTGGGTCACTGTGCCAGTCTGAATTTGCACACAGAGGTGCTGTAGGGGGGCGTGCTGGCAGCCTTTACACCAGGCCCAGCATCCATGTCTCCTAAAGCTGTTGCAGGGATGGCAATCTCAAGCTCTGGCCCTCAGTGTCCCTGTCACTAAAGGTGGTTGTTCCCCCAGGTACCTGTGCCAGGTGGTGGATGGAGCAACCTGTGACGCAAACGCGGTTCGGAAACTCACGGCGATGATCGACCGGCTTTAGGAACTCGCACGGGTTTCTCAAGAAGGTGGGAGCAGACAACATTATGATCTAATAAACTTTATTTTTTAAAAATGACCATTTTTCCATTGTCTTTCCTAGGAAATTAAACCCTTTAATTCATACCTACCCTCTACATAATGGTTATTGAGTACTCCACAATATATTAAGTCTAGATGTTATGGTACATGCATACACTTTCAGGCTGTTGATTACCCACTGTCACCAATACACATAAATGGAAAAAAGCTATGAAACTGTATAGGGCTGTATATATACTTGTCTCAGCTTCATTAGAGCAGGAAATTGCTGTGATTTCCAGCAGGTTATGTAAGTAATGTCCAGACTGTTCAAAAAAAACTATGAACAGAGTAAAGTACAAGACTGTTTTGAGGAGACTTTCTACTGTGTACTTTAAAACATAGTAAAATTTCTTTCACAAAACTTAGTTACATGGGTACTTTGTTTTATAGTGCATTATAGTCTAGGAAGTCTCATTAAAACACTCGCTTTTCTTTCTTTTGTTAGGGTGGTTTGAGTACAGACTATTGCTGGGGCAGGGGAGGAGATTATTCTAACTTCAGAGGACACCAGAAAAATTGCTGGATATAATTTAAGATTAGTGTTTTCTCTTTCATAGAAAGAACGTACATACTGGGACATGAGTACAGTTACAGCAAGTCTAGGTGTGCTAACAAAACAGGACACATTCAAGTACAATAAGTTTTTTTGCTTGAAATTAGAAACAAACTACATGAGATTAAAGCATTAAAATCATATTTCTCAATCTGAATAAATGTTAAAAAATCAAAAGAAATGCAGAAGTGCTAGCTCACATTTTTACCATGTTACAAAAGCGATTGGTACCCATGTCCATAAAGGCAGCAACAAAGAATGCTGCTTGTCTACAGAATAGTACTACTGCAAATTGGACTGCGTTTCAATGCTACTTGTAAAAACACCAGCTCTCAGAAGTTGGTATCTGTACAAAATTGCAGCTTATTTTTCTTCACTTCTGTCCCTTCAAAGTCTTTGTTTACACAGTAATGCTAAAACGCCCAGTTCTGTTATCCTGAGTCAACATATTGCCACTTTCTTTTTTGGTAGGTTGAGCTCCATAGTGTCAACACCTCACACATCCGCTTTAATACAGTCTCTTTCTGCAGAAATGGGCAAGTGTAACTTCCTCCAAAAAAAAAGTTTTAATAGTTATGATATTAGAATGGCAGGACTTTCTTTCTGAAAAGGAATTCAGTTGTGCTGCAATGTATTAGATTCTATAGGTGGAGCAGAGTCATATAGTGTATCTGTATCGTGTGTAGGCTCTCCGGCGAGCGTACAGGGATTGGACAGTGTTCCAGCACCACAGTCACAGAAAAACCTACAACACAGAGAGACAGCTCTTAGTGCCCATGCCCTCCTGCTCTGGGAGCAGCCCCACCCTGCCTGGGAACTTACCTATCATGTCTAATGAATTCTACGTCGTGTCCTTGATGGCACTTCTTGATGCAGTTCACACAGATGGCGTTACGGTCTGTGGTGTTGCAGGTGTGACACCTGGAGGGAAAAGCAGCACGTTAGGCAGGAACCAAAACCTGACCAGCTCTCAAGGGAAGGGCTCCAGGAGGCTGGAGGGCCAGAAATGCACTGAAGAGGTGGCACAGGACTGTGAAGTTTGAGAATTTTACACAAACTTGGATTTCACAGCACACTTTTTGTTACTTGTGTCACAAACAGAGTCGTGCTGTGCAACACCCTGGGCTCAGGTTACAGAAACAATCTGCTTTCCTCAAGCCCAAAGTCAATTCCAGAAAATGGGAGCTTATTTAAATCCTCTTCTGTTGCAGCTGAGGAAGAGCACACATTTGTGTGTTCACCCAGACCCAGCAACTGTTCTAGGGGCCTTGCAGGAAGAGAAAGGCTTTCCAGTGAACCCCCTTTCTGTAGGTGAGGGGAAGGAACCTGTTACCTGTAGAAGTCATGCATCGGGTAGCTGGTGTAGCTTGAGATCTTATATAAACACTGGCCTCTACTGACAGCTTTCTCTATGGCATCTTGATTGTTCATTATTTTGTTATCTGTTGGGGGAAAAACCAGACTAATCACATCTGCATCAATGACTTTTTTCCTTGATGCACTGAAGCCAAGGGCCTATTAGGAACAATTAGTTCTATACCTACATTTCAGCTCTGGCATTTAAGAATATAAAATCCTCAATGCCCACGTGCCCAGAGTGCCATGCACTCCTGAAGCAAGTAACACTGTTCCTCTTTGCACACATGGCACAAAATACCTGATAGCCTCCTCTTAAATACTTCTTTTGAACTTGGCTGTTAATAAATGCTTAGAGAAACACAAGGCCTCCTAGCAAGTGTAAGTTTGCTGCTAAGGAGCCTGAAACCCAATGTTTGAAAGCCTCTCATTTACCATAAGGCCATTTACACATCCCTTAGAAAGAGGAAAAGGACAGCTCTTTCTCCAGGAAAGTTTAGGAATAAAGTACTTTCCAACACAATGGAAGTGGAAATTAGGTCTGACCAGCTCCAGTACTTCAAAGATGTGTCCAAGGTACAGCAAATTTCATAATCCCCTCTGTTACTCAACTACCTGATCTTCTGTCTAGTCCCAAAGTGCACCTCAAAAAGTTTTGCCCACTCCCAGCAGCATCAGAGCACTGAGTGATGTCATTGGGAAGCAGGGAGCCAGAGTCTGTGTTTTAAGAGGCACAAATCTTCCACAGGAAAGGGTTCAACAGCTTTATGTACAGCAAGTACATAAAACTCCTGCAAACTGAACCTTTTTCTTAAATAACCTCCCTGAGCTATCTGGCATTCAAACCATCATTCCCATCTCATCCCAGAGGATCCTGTCTCATGCACACTTCCCCACTATACAAGGTAATTTTATGTATGTGAGCTGTTCATATTTTCTGAAAATCATGTTTGGGATTGAAAATGCTCATGCTTTTAGATCCTAAAAGGCAAGGAGGTGTATTTCTTTACTGGACACTTGTTTTTAATTATGTGAGAAAAAGACTTTCCATTACACTGAATCAGAACTGGAGTCTGAGATGGGCCAGAGATCAGGAACTGGTTCAAGAAGTGACTTTGAGACAGAAGAGCTGATCACAGTTTTAAGGTAACAGCAAAACCTAAAGTTACCTTTGAACCCATCTGTTTGTCTAAAAATCTTAACACAGCTTAATGTGGCTCATAACCTTCAGCTGAAACTGAGTCACAACTCTGCTTTAGGTGGTACCAGCTGTACAAAGGCTACCATAAACCCACGAGCCAGCAGCACCAAACAAGTGACCAAACACAAGCCAGGAGGACTTGGGCTCACCTTTCATCGTGACATTGACACCAGATGCTAGAAATAAACCTCCAAAGCGGTTGTTGAAAATCTGATTGCCTTCTAATGTTGCAGTCGCATGATTTGTTATTTCAATACCTTGAGTGGGTCAGGGAAACAAAGGAGAGAAAAGAGTGGCAAAGTTAAATCCCTGGTGTTTGTGCATTTATACTTCTCTTGTCATCTACAGCTTGCTTGCTTGGTTTTTTTTAAGCCATCATAAACTCAAGGGGAAAAAAGGAAAATAGCTACAAAACTGCACTGTAATTTGTTATAAAACTGTTCAAATGCTGCTGTTGAATCCTTTCAAAGAGCTACAGCTGGCATGCATGATCTCTGGGAGGAACAACACACTACTAGTTTATCTGATAATAAAATGGTACTATGATCATGTTCATTTTTAAAGGGGATATTATTTTTGGGCGCTTAGAGCTGTCATCTTCATGTACATTTGAAAGTTCTTGTGCACATACCTTACCCTTTTTAAAATATCTTTTTAAAAAAGTTCTCAAGATGGGCACCTAAAATTCATTTCTTTAATTCTCAGCTTTTATCAGTAACCCGTGTCTTCCAAGTCATTTGTCCAGGACTGCTCTTGACAGCAACCTATCCTTCCCCCCCACCACACTGAAACAACACCTTTAGAGGCTCTTCTCAGAAAACTTGCTTCTTCTGAAAGAAAGATGGGAGAAAACTCAAGAATGCAATTTTAGTTGAAATGGAATGGAATGCAAGACGGATGAAACTGTGATGATTAAACAGTAAAATCGCAAAAAATCACTGTTAAACATTCTTCATCTCTTTTGGAGAAAGAAATGCTCATTTTTACAATTTTTCAACTTTGAGGAGTGAGAAAGTTGAACTTGAGATGCAATTCAAATCTCTTTAAAATGTGTATTTGCACAGTTTCCTAGGTTTTAAAGCAGTGATAAGATATTCATACCAGCATCCAGCACATCAACTATGAATATATCCTAGACAACTTTACCAATTGCTTCTAAAATAAAATAATGAAAAGTATTTCACAAAAAACGACAAGACAGAATATGTGCCATTTCCCAACATGCTGTAAATATACCTTGACTACAATTCTCAAATGACTTTTAGAATACACTGAAGGATATCCCAGTATCTTTTAAAACATCTAAATACCATGGGGTAAAGAAACTCTGTGTAAGTTTTGTGAAGAGCTCACTCCAAGCTTCCAAATTTGATTTAAACAGCACAAACCTGCAGCAAAACCATCGAATATTCGGTTTTTCCTTAGCACAGGGTGGCTGTTGGTGCTGATAAGAACACCAGCTTGAGCATTCCTGAAGATATCATTCTCTTCCAGAAGACCTATGACAGACCAACAGATGTTACATTTGAGCTTGGGAGCGTTTCCTGATCTGTAACCTTTCTGTGAAATATTTTCAAAGGATCTTATGTGTCACAATCCTGTTAATAACTCCTTTCATTTGGAGAATATGCACCAGTAGCACTGACATCAGTGATACCAGTTTAAAATAGTTCTCAGTGTATAATTTTGGAAGTGTATTTTTTCAGTACACAGCATGGGATTTGTGATCATAGGCACCACTGCAGAAAACTAAATCTTTCTGCTTTCCAAATTTTTCTTTAATTTTTCTAACACCTCTCTCTTCTTGTCTTCTAAAATGAACAGGCTGCCAAAAGCCAAGCATTTTTTTGTTATAGGACAGGATTACTTTAAAATGCTGAGTTAAAATTAAAGCTCACTTAGAGCAAGTGATTATCTACAGAATATCAGAAGTTGGTATCAGGACACACAGCAGTCAGGGGATTTCAGACAGGGACCACTTCTCAATTTACAAGTGTACAAAAGATTCCTTAAAGATCTGTGGGGTTTTTTTCCCCTGAATCCTGTACACTCTGGCAGAACCTAAACTGCTCAGGTGCATGATTTTGGCTACGTGACTTGAATCCAACACTGTGTTTCAGTCAAATGGCAAAGCTTAGAAAAGCAATTGGGATAAAAGGACTGTCCTTAAGCAGCAATCTAAGAGTTATCTTGGATGAGATTAATTACCTCTCTGCCTCCCACAGATTTCAGTATTACTAATGTAATTAAGGCTAAAAAGCATTAGGGTATGTTCGCTATAACTATTTTATCACTCCAGAAGACAAGAGCTGTGTTTCTAAAGAGCACTTTAAAAAGAACACTGCTTAAACTGAAATTTAACTCTTATCCAGAACATTCAGTGAAAAACAGTAAGGGAAAAAGTTACCTCTTCCCCCATTAAATATACAGATGCCTCCATCTCTTCCATCATGGATTTTATTTCTCCTTAGTGTAGGATTACTGTCTGTTTTAATCCATACACCAGCCATTGCATTATCAAAAATTTCATTGTCTTCTATAAATCCAAGCCCTAAAATTGAAGGAAGAGTGGAAAAAAAATTAAAATCAAAAAGTATCATAAATGAGAAGATAATATAACACCACAGACCACAAATAATTCTGGATAAACATGAAAAACAAACCTACCAGAATTATAGACAAGAATACCACCATTCTGACCACCCCAGATTTTGTTGCGTCTGATTTTGGGGTTGCTTCCAGTTCTAGAGTGAAATGTAAGCAAAGAAGTAATTTAAAAGTCACCAAAAATAAATCATTTATAGTCATTTACTATATCCCAAGGCCAAACATCTCAAATACTTCTAAAGAAGTGCCCCATGGATCTCACTGCTTAACAATCTTAGTAAAATATAGTTCTTTCCAAACATGCAAACATCATTTATCTTTACAGACTTCAAGGGCCACACATTCCAGTCAATACCCAGGCTGTATTTTTGGTAACTTTCTTGTAGGTTAAAGCAGAGGGTATTCAGACATACTGGATTTCAAAAAAGTTATTTTTATAAACAAAA